AGGCCTGTGTCATTCTCTTCTTTAGTTCTCTTTCCTGGGGCTGCCTTACTGCGGCTTGGAGTTTATACCTTAAGGCTGAGGGGCACCCAAAGGATGCTATTTTTATTGATAGAGTAGGACATGTGGACTTCGATGTCCACCTGCATGTGCCTGTGGGCTGTTGAGGTGCAGGCAGAACAAGTGGGAAGAGAAAGGGGTTGGCCATGAACTGTTGTACTTTCGCACATTGCCATAAAAAGCTATACAACATTAAGAAGGAATTCTACATGCAAACCAGGCCTTCCAGGTTGATTTGAAGGCATAATTATCAAGGTAGGAGGATAGAACAGAATTCAGCAGTTTATCAGTTTGGTTTATAACTTCTAAATGCTTAGACATAACGCACCTGGGCCTTCATTTGCCGTCTTGCCCTGGGCCTTGCATGTGTTAGGAGCAGGCCAGCTGCTCTCACTGGAAACCGTACTTTGGGGCTTCGTTGAGTTCAGTTACGGAGATAAAGAAGGTTATATTTATGCATATTTGAGTTGTGACTGTATGTTTGAAAACTGTTACCTATACTGGAATTATTGTCTATGAGGTGATTTCAATTACTATAAAAAGTTAAAATTTAATTCTTGGAGCAGCGTTAAGCAAAGGAAAAATACTTAGCAAGTCTGTTTTCTTCTATAGCTTTTAAATTTGTGGACTTGGGGAGGGATAGGCTGTGGAGAGGGGGAGGGAAATAACACTGCTCCCGCGTTGGCATTACATGTAAGCGCAGACCCCATTTTGTCTTGCTGGTCACAGCCTTTCCCTCAGCTGTCTGCCTCCACTTACATGCCGTTCAGTCTTGCTTCCTTTTTTCTGGCTTGTGATGTAATTCTTTCTTTCTCTCACTTATACTTCTAACTTATCCTTCTTTCCTCAATTTCTCCCTTTGTGTACTACTTCCGGAAGCCCTGGATAAGTTTTCCTCCCAGTCCAGTGCAGCCGGGAAAGCTCTCTGGCCTTGTGACTCTCCTGCAGTCCTGCCCTGGCTCACCTGATGCCGAGAGCAGGATGTGGGCCAAGTTCATTCTCGTTGTCTTCCATTCTAGTTACTACTGATGGAAGAACAAGCCAAAACGTAGGAGGAAGACACGGAAACAACAAACATTTTGGTGTTGCCACAGAGTTCCATAACTGAAGAAGATTCAAGCTGGAAGGCACCCTTGAGGTCACTTTTGGGTCAGAAACTGCATCCTGGAGACTCTGAGTCTACACTGCCCAGCCAGCATGAGGCCTTCCATCCTGACAGATGGTCTGGGCCTTTGCCTTTCCAGTGAATTATACCATGTAATCTCTGCCCCTCAAGAGTTCATTTTGTCCAGTTTTTATTGGCACTCTAAGAAACAAAAACAGATATTCCTTTCTCCTTAACATATTTCCAGATGGATCTACCCCAAGAAATATTAGACCAAAAAAAAAAAGGAAGAAACTCTTGTCCCTGCCAATTGGCCATATAACTATTGCTTAATTGTTTCTTTGAAGGTGGGAATGATGGTCTTGGCTAAAACCAGTGCCTTTGTGGACGTACCCTCACTTTAGATAGTGCTCCTGGATGCCAAATAGGTAATCAGAACAGCAAACAATAAAGACTGACTACTTCAGTCACAGGTAAGCTAATAAAAATATATTACTTTTCTAACATCACTCATTTCTATTTACATAAGGGGAATATGTGCATTACTATTTTTAAATTTTATTTTAGTCCGTTTATTTTATTTTTGCTCTAACTTTATTAGAAGATTGAGATAAGGAATTGCCTCATTTCTGAAGTCTCTTTTCTGTCACATACATCACTCATCTCTGAACACAATCTCATTGCTATAGGCTGAATGTTTGTGTCTCCAAAATTCATATGTGAAACCTAACCCCAATGTAATGGTATTTGGAGGTGGGGCCTTTGGGAGGTGATTAGGTCATGAGGATGGAGCCCAAATGAATGGGATTAGCACCCTTATAAAAAAGGTATCAGAGAGCTCCCTCACCCCTTCTACCAGATGAGGACACAACAAGAAGACAGATATCTATGAATCAGGAAGCAGACTCCCACCAGACACTAAATCTGCCAGCGCCTTATCTTTGGACTTCCCAGTCTCCAGAACTATGAGAACTAAATTTCCATTGTTTATAAACCACCCAGCTTATGGTATTTTGTTATAGCAGCTTGAATAGACTGAGATACCCACTTACTGCCATGTCATCCAGAACAAAGACCACCCACCTCAAAAGACATCAGCACACACTCAAAGCCAGGCTTTATCTCTTTCTTGCTCCTCTTATTCATACATATCTACTTTCTTTGAAAAATAATTTGAAACAATTTACATGCAAAATTTATATGTATATAAAATCATATATAATGATAATATAATAATTACCATAATTATAATTATTATAATAATATAAAATAATAATAATGATAATATAATCATATATATATGTACAAAATCTTGGAATTGGGTTCTGACTCATAACCTTGGCAGCCAAATGTGTTCTATCTCTGTGGCGAGAAATTTAGGACTAGAGACTTTCAGTTGCCCACTGTCCAGCTCTTTGGGTCAAATTATAAACTTTTATGTTCTCTGATTCTTTGCTCAGGTCTAGTATCACCTCAGCACCATCAGATCATTGCCAGCTGACTCCCAGATACAGGCTCTAGTTTTCATCATTTCTTCCAATATAAACATTCAAGGTTCTATCTGAACACCATATGTAAGATTTAGTTTTCTTACCTAGACTTTCAGATCTGTACATGTTCTTCAGGCTTGTTATGCTTATCTACCCTCCAAGTCTAAGACCATAATCTCCGCCCAGTCCACTGGCCCACCCGAGCCCTGCCCTCAAGCATGGCCTTTGGGGCAGCTCCCTCGCAGTGCATTGCTCCCATTGGGTTCTAGTTGGTGTCTAGAATCTAGACAGCCCTAGATTCTTACAGCGTCTTGGTGTTTGTTAGATGTCAGAATTGAAAGATTGATATCATTACCTTTTTAAGAGCTAGCCTCTTTGTTAAAGATGTTATTATCTCCTGGATTGTGGTTTTAAAAAATATTTTAATTATCATTCATAATGTAAATGATTCCAGGAAGGCCTTCTGTTACCAGATAGTTTTTCCTAAAACATTCCTTTATCATTTCTCTTCCTTCTACATGCAGAATAAAGGCCTTCTGAAGTGTGGTCTCAACCACAATTTATTTTTTTTCTACCACTCCCCTACAAGAATCTCTGCTGTATTCAAACTAGTTTGTGGGTGAAACCCTACAAATACTGTGCTTAGCAAGTACTGTGCCATACCATTTTCCTCGGCTAGTACCCTTTTCTGAAGAACTGTCACCTCTTCTTCAAATATACACAGCCTTGTCAGACCATTTCCTCTTCTGAACTTAATATTTATTTCACCAATTCAATAAATATTTATTTAGTGCCTGTTGTGTGCAGGTACTAGGTACTAGAGACATAGTGCTGGATAAATTGAATAAAACAGTCCTCCCTGCCCTCATGGAGTTTCCATTCTAGTATCAAGGTGAGCAATGATTAGAGGAAAAAAAGTATTGACTTGAGAAGAGAAGTAAAGAGGATAGCAGAGCTGGAGCAACTATTTTAGCAATGAAGCCTCAGGCAAGAAAACAAAGCTGAATATACCCAGGCCTTGGGTCTATATTTGTCTCTGCTGGGAGGGAAGGTGAAAGTTGAGTGAATGACAGAGGATTCTGTTAAATTCTGCCATGCTCCAATATGATGTTATCATGGGTAGAATAAATGTTGCTGAACTTTGGGTACTAGGAGTGGGGCTGTGACAATATTTACATGGAATCATAGAGGTTTTCTCTTTGGCTAAGTGCCAGCAGAACTTTGATGAAAGAAGGCTGGGGAGCCAGAAACAGGAGATCTGGACACAGTGTGATTATATCATAGAGCACAGAACCCATAAAACAGTCCTGATAAGTAGTGAATGTAGGTAGACTAAAGTCACATCTAGAAGGGTGGGGAAGTGATGCAGCAAATAGTCATCACACATGAGACAGAAAGATGGACTCAAGACATCTCCTTGGAAGCACAGCAAAGTGGTTAGTCATTGAAAGAACAGGTAAATGGAGAATAAAAAGTCATCAATCCAAGTGTGTGAACTCCACAATTCTTCAATACATAAGAAGCCATGGCTAAGTCTTAAGTGGTGCAGATTTATCAATAACTACTAGATAGTACTGGAGGTCTAGAGGTGATTGGCTAATGTTGCCCAGGGGTGCTTGGGATGAAGAATTCAGTCTCTAGCCTGGCTATAGAAGAGCTAACTAACCTCGCAGCAGTGAAGCAAGACCAGGAATGAGACCACAAGTCCAAGGTTCAAGAGGAGATGTTGTCAAAGAAACAAGGATGTGGGCTAGTTAGAACAAAAGTCATGGTAAGGGTGTTCTGGAGTTCCACCAGGACCATGGTCCTGAGCGATTTGTAGACAGGGATAAAAACCTATTTCAGGATGGAGGAATAGGTCTCACCTCCTTTCAAAATAGCTTATCCTACCAGATCTCCTGTGATTGAGTGACCTTTAAAGGGAGTGGTGGCAGAAACAAGAGATTCAAAAGTAAAACACATGGTCAGAAACCAGAAAGAGGTTACCTAAAAGCCAGAGGCACCTCAGGAGCCCAAAGATCTCAAGAGAGCAGGACAAAAGAAAGAAGAGCAGGGCTGCACCGGTAGAACAATAGCAGTGATGGTTAATTTAGGAATTAATTTTGTTAATGTTACCCTGGCTGCTAAAAAATGGAGAAAGCGATAGGGAGCATCTTGTTGAGGAAAGGTCATTCCCCCTGGGAGAGGGAAGAGAGAAATAGCTATTTCTGTTGAACAGATCCTGACAAGGGAAAAGTACTTTTATAACCCTTTGGTGCGAATTGTTTATTAGATGGTGATTTCCCCAGAGATGTAGGACTAGGGCAGCCAAAGAGCCTGGAGAGTGAGCAACGGGGCAGGGTCTTCAAAGGGGAGAGATGTGTAATTAACAAGTTTGCTTTGGACCGTCTCTGCCTATGTTCCAGTGTTTAGCTTTACATTAAAAATCTTCAGAGGGATTTTATTATGGGCTTTTGAAGGAGATTGATTTTATTCAATGTTTTGATTAGTTTTTAAGACCCTCGAGCCATTTGTTATTCTCACCCTCTGTAGATTAGGACACCATTTAGAAATTTGACAGTATTTTTTCCCTAAACATTTTGTCCTTTTGCGGTTGTCAAATATTGAATTAGATCTTGTTATAAACAGACCAGGAACTGGCATTGTTGACATTTCCCTTCATTAGGAAGAAACTGAAAGCTGACATTTTCAACCTATCAGCTCTAGTTAGGTCTATGGATAAGAACACAGTATGGGAAATGAGGCAATCTGTTTCCTTTTTGGCTTTCATTATGTACTCACCGTGAAACAGGAATTGATAAACAACTTCACTTAATGGATGCCTAAGTTTATCTTCAAAGAAAAGGAAAAGTATTGATTAACTCTAGGATTTAAAGTCTGAATGAATGAAAGAAGGCATTGATTTGAATCCTATGAGATTATTGATTAAACCTAAAAAAGTTTGAAATCTGAATGAATGAATGAAGACATTGATTTGAGTCTTGATTTGGCCTCTTATTAGTTTGTTAACTTTTTGGTTCTCATCTTCTTTATTTGCAAAATTGAAAAAATATCAATAGCTACTTTCCCTGCACCAAAGGATTATTATGAGGGATCAATTAGATAATGTAGTGAAGTGCTTTACATGCTGTGAAGCGCTAGACAAATGTTAGGTTTTATATTACATATTATGTAGGCTTAATGAAATAGGTTATTTGGCTAGATTAATTGAGGGACTTCTGGAATAATGTGAAGTTCAGGCATGATCTGTGGTTGAGGTTTTGGAGAGATAAGTCCTATTTCACTCTTCTGGAACTCATCACTAGACTAAATTGATGAATGTATTTTCTAACCTAAACCTCTCAAAAGTTTGAGACCACAGTTTCAAAACCAATCTTAGAGAATTATCTGGTTGGAGGTTGAGGCTGAAGCAGGTAATACTATGGTAGTTTGTATGCATCAATTTGATTTTTTGAGGAAAAGGGGGCAAAGTTTGAAAGCAATTGCTTGAAGATCACAGCAAAGTTCCTGAGAACATTGACCTGGTTTGAGAAGTAGCGTACGAATAAAATTCTCCCACCCTACCAAACTGATACTTCAGGCTTTAGAGGTGGCCCAGTAGGAGCTGGGCAGAAAAAAGGGAAGATGAGTAATGCTCAATTCAACTCAGAGGTGAAAGTGGAAAAGACTTTTAAAGTTACCCTTCTTACTTTACATTCTACATTAAATTCACAGTCTATTTTTCCATGCGGAGTAAGTTTTAGTCCTTACTAATTTTGATTAAATTCAGGATAACCAATATTGGGTCAAAATCCACATGGACAGAGTTTTGAGTAAAAGAGATTATCTTTACTTTCAAATTCTGAGTAAGCTAAGGTGCATACAGCTCAATACCCATTGGAGTTTACCCAAGTGGGATGTTAAAATTTTGAATGTCAGTTAACGCAATCAGTAAGGTGCTGACAAAACTAGTCATTCATTTCAGGCGTTAAGTAACTTGATCCTTAATCTGTTATTCTCTTCTTTGCATTAATAAGATGAAGCTTCTGGGCCCACCAAGGAGAAAGAGCCCCTCTTCTACCAGGCTGGTCAGCCCAAGCCTGGGCCCATGGCCTTCTGAGCAGAGGGCTGGCTAGATCTCAGCCCCACTCACACCCCTCCATGGGCACCTGTGTGCAAGCACAATCTATCTGGATAAGGCAACTCTGAAATGATTTTCTTTAACCCAGTCTCCTGAACATGTCTTGAGACAAGACTTGCTGCAAAGATTGGTGAAGGCCAGTGATGTTTTGAGCTTTGTGATAGTCATTTACCAACACGCATTGCTCTTGGAGAAGAAGTTATTGTCTTCTCTGAAAATGTTTTTTTCTGTTTGAACATGATTATTCCTTAAGCACTAGAGAATGCATCTTCTCTGAGTACAAACAGAGGAGGTAGAAATTTCCAAGGAATAGTGGGGATCTTTAGATCTGGGTCTTTATGCCAGTTTCCTGCGTTAACTTTGGAAATTTGCTTAATCTCTTTGAGGCTGAATTACATCATTTGTAAAGATGCAGACAGTATTATTTATTTTATATATTTGAGATAAAGATCAAATGAGTTGGCAATATATGTAAACTTCCTAGCCCAACTCATAGTAGTAGACATTTAACAACTCTTAATTTTCTCCCTACCACCATGGCATGGAAGAAAGAATGCAGCACAGAATGATGAGTCAGCAACACCAGATTCTAAGCAGTAGCTGTGAAATTTATTGGTTGCAACGTTAGATAAGTGACTGAAACTCTATAGCCTAGATTTCTTCTTCTATAAAAATAAGAGGTTGAATTGTCTCTAAGGTTTCTTCTAGCTTGATGAACTTATGATTATTTGCACAGTTTTTTCTAATTCAATTCAATTCTAAACTTAAATTTAGTACAACATTATATTTGTTACCTAAAATGTACTGGTGACTTTCACACGGTGTTGGCATCAGTACTTTCTCACACTCCTGCATAGAAAAGAGAGCCAGCAAGTGCCCAAGGATCTGCACTCTGTCCCTTAGAAGAACAAAGGGAGACACTGTCAGTAAATCTTTAGAAGGTATTCTACTTCCATGTAACAGTGATACAGCTCTCTGTATCAAAGAGGTTGAATTTTATTCATTTTAGCGTGGGCTATGTGTCATACTTTTGGATTGCAGAATCAGCATACAAGGATTTTACACTTGGCCTTTAGATCCTCAGAGGACCATTGGTATTTGTAGTGCCAACCTTGAGGCACCTTGCAACAGGTCATGGCCATTGCTCTCCACGCCCTAGGATAGTTCTAGGCTAGGTAACCGGCCTAGATGAGAAGTCATTGAATTCAAACTGATGTCTGTGGACATAGGTTTCTTGAGGGAATAAATGAACATTTGTAGCCTGTGAAGTTTTTTTCCTCATAAGTATAGATATCCTTATTTTTAAAATTTTGGAAATTGGTGGTAGCATATAGCTAGAAAACAGAGAATGTCAGCCCTCGCTAATGACTGTGTACAAGAATTCCATCTATGATGATGAAAAGTCTAAGTTTTAGAAGTCTTTGAGAAATTGTGGAGATCTATCTGAGGAAGATTGGCAGAGTGAAAGTAATTTCTCCACAATTCAAAGCTAGCATAGAGGTGGATTCTGAAAAATACAGCAAACTTGCAAAATTGAATGGACTACTGAATTGACTGAGTACTTAGAAAAGGAAGCATGATCTCTAGGGACTAGTGCAAATTACTTAGAAATTAACTTTATTTTTATGGTTGACAGACTCATATATTAGGGTCTGAGTACCTAATATATTGGATGGACTATTTCATGCTATCTTTGTGAATAGGCTGGGGAAACATGGATGAGATTGCAGTAGTCAAGTGAATTCATATATATTGAGCAGTTACGTTAATGAGCATGAACTTTCACAGGATCCTGGAGGACCTGGAAGACATGGGGATAGAACTGGATGCAGTTAGCCTGGAAAAGGAAAAAGTTTCCTTTTTTTCCCCCTTGAGAGGGAGAGGCATGGTAGCTGTTTTCAAATATTTTAACAGCTCTATCATCAAAGAGGAATTAGACATTCCTTGTGTCTCAAGTAGGACAATTTGGGATCAAGGAGGCAGAATTTTCTCAATACAAGGGAAAAGGTTTCTGTTAATCGGTCTAATGGAATGGACTGTTTTTTGAGGTGGTAAATATTACATCCCGGATGAGTTCAAGAAGAAGCTGGCTATCTGTCTTGGATATTGTCTAGTGGTTGCTTGCAGTAAAGGGAAATTGGACAAGATAATATTCTTTCTAAAATTTTTAGAAGCCAAGATAGGGTTGGAGAAGAAAGAGATCAGAAAGCAAATGAATATCTTCTCCTTTGTCATCACAACTAATGGAACATATTATGTTTTGTCACACAGAAAAGGCTTACATTGCTAAGTGCCCTGCACTAGAGACAAACCAAGAATAAAGAAACCTTCAAGTATGAATAAGAAGGATTTCCTAAAAGCATTACATGTTGATATAAGCCACCAGAAAAGGAGAATATTTTGTGATTTTCTTAAAAGACAAGAACAGTTACCTAATGTATCCAATCCAAGCAGAATTGTTACTGCCATATAATAATTTGAACTATGAATATTGCATTTTCTCTCATATTCTAGAAGCAGTTTATCTGAAAACTAGAACCCTTTGTAAATATAAGTAAATATTTTCTTAGTGTCCCAAAGTTCTCTATGAACTTTCCTTTTCCTTCCTAATCAGATTGTTGAAGGTCTTGATTCCCAGTATAGGAAGTTGGCAGATTTTATACTCTTTTGACCAGGTAACCTATATTGAGAAATACAGTTTATACCATAACTCAGGATCATATATGCATTATAACTGAAATCAAACATTTGAGAAATAATACTTATGTTTTGGTATAATACTCTAAAACTTTCAATTTAATTCAATTTATTAATAATTAAATACTGTTTATGTTCCACTAATTTCACAAGTTTTGCAGGTTGAAAAACACTACTGTAGTCAATAGTTAGTCACTGAAAACTCAAATAATGGCAGAATAAATGAGAGAATTCAGGTCTTGTCATTTTGGACATTTGATCAACTTGCTACAGAAAAATAATATTTGCATATTATTGTATGAAAAGTCTAGGGTTTGCGATACATTTATATATTACTCTTTAGTTCCTTTCTTCCTATCTTTTCAGCCTCCCCACCGCCTCCTCCCATGGGAAATCACACACCCCTGGAAGCAGCCACTGGAAACAAGAAAGACTATGAGAGCGATATACAGACAGACTGCATTTCATTCTGTGTATCTTAAAGCTTTACATCTAGAGAAGAAAGTTTTAGCCTAAAGCATGTCTGTTTATGAGCACACTCAGGTGACTGCTGAGATGATGGAATTGCTGATACACTGCTCATAGCTGCTTGGGTAACCTTCTTTTATGATCAGGAAGGAAAATGCAGTTTTTAAGATCAAAGTGGACACCTCCTGGAAGCTACATTTATTATAAAAGGCTAAAGTGTCCACATTCTTAGGAATCAAAGGGACTTAAAGCAGAAAGGCAGTAGTATTCAATAGACAAATGAAATTTTTGACAGAACAGCAACCACCTAAGTAGTGACAGGAACAAGAGGTAATTTAATTCTGAAAGGTACCAACTCTGCCAGCTCTGGGGTTAAGCGAGGTGCCCGATATTGTGATAGCCACAGCCAGGGCCTGCCTGGCAAAAATTTCCACTGTCAGTGCAGGGACTGAGAATACTTTTATAATTTTCACCATTTGAGTTTCCCTTGGTAGCGTTTTGAACGCATTTCTGCAGAAAGCAGGAGTTCCGCTCTGCTACTGCAGAGGAAATCAAATGGAGCGTCATTATAACCCAGTCACCGTCACAGTAATTGAAAAGCCATCATGGACGAATTCTAACCCTTAAAATGTGGCAACCTCGGATAGTAATGTCTGGACTGTGGCTATTCTACTGTCAGCTGCCATCTAATAACAGTGCCACTGTGTTTAGGGTCCTTTTATATGCTCCTCCAACCCCCAAGCTGGCCTTAAATCCCCCCATAAGCCTCTTTGCCAGGTAACTCCGAAGAGCATCTCTTAGCTGGGCCCACTTCAAATATTTACTAGAAACTCCTTCACTTAGATCACTAGAAAACTTTTGTAATAGTTTTAAATAACTTTGAAATCTTGGCTGAAGTATTTGAGAGTAACAAAGAGCCTTCATTATTTCTTCTCAAAAACTTTCCAGCAGTTTGAGAGTCTGAAGAGGCCTACCTTCAGAAATTGTGAATACTTAATGAGTGTGCTTCATACTGTGAAAGAAATGATTCTTTTTTTCCCCTTTTTTATCAGGCTAACGTCTTCTGAAATCCCCTTTGCTTTACCAAGAGTTTATCTTTCTAGAGACTAGAATTGGAGAAAACATTTTCTTGATGTTTATCAAATGTTTATTGTAATTAAAGTGTTAGTGTTGCAGAAGTGGTTTTGTACTCGTGAGCTTCTCTACTGCAAACTTTTATAGCCCATATTATTAATAAAAAGACAATATTGATTTTAATGCACTTTAAATGGACTCTGAGAGAGTGTGCAAAGCCTCGATGACAGACATTTTTCTTGCACTAAGAAAAAATATATGGAAGTTTTAAAATTATAAAAATTTGAATGAGATCAAAAGGGTGCAGCATGAGGAATAGATGAAAGTATGCCTTGGGCAATCTCTGGGCTAACTTTTGGAAAAAATTTGTCATTCGCCATTAATGGTTCTAATAGTTTGTCCAACTTAGCCATATTTCATTTTTTTCTTATTCTTGATATGCACAATTCTCATGTCCACACTGAAAAGAAAAAAGGATTTAGCTTTGTAGAAATCAATAGATTATTGTAAATTCTTAGCTATATGGAACATAAATTAGTGCCTTGGTTATCAATGATTATTTACTCTGCCTATATCCTTTTGATTGAATTGCCCAAGTTTAAGTTATGGGAGCACTTACTCAGGAGCACTGCCTTCCCTTATAAAGAGGCAATTCCCAACAGGGTGTAGAACATAGGCTTAAATTCTGGTTCATATTTTATATCATTCCCCAATAAAATAAAAGGAAAATAGTTAATTTAAATAACCCTTTAGGGAAAAGTAAAAAGAATAGAGAGAGCTGAAAAAAAGAAGAGAACATCTAAGAGAATATCTAACAGGAGACCATGCATGCCTTCTCCATGCATTTTCTGTTAACTGCATTTTCCTGATTCTCACACCTGCATATGTTCCTTCATGCTTAGCAAAGTTTGAGAAGGGGTGATCCATGTATTCAGCACAGCTTGTAATTTTCCACAGCATGTAGGTCTGACTTTTCTCCAGTGTTCTGCATATTGTCGCCACCTGTTTTATTCCATTTTATTAGAGATAATTGTCCTCATGGGTCCCCAGTTGACACGCCTGGAATGAGTTATCTGCCCTCTCTCCCTTGGCCCCTCCCTCAGCTGCTACTCACTCAAAAGGGTCGCTGGGATCTGCCCTCTGGAGCTCTGGAGGGATGGGGATTCTTTTGTAGTACATTTCCCAGTCGAAGGCGCCTCGCATGGCATCCCCAGCTTGTGCCTCATACCCAAAGTGATTGTGGTCAATGACATCGATCATGGGGCACACGATGGTTTTGTGGTTTAGTGCAATTTGGTCTGAAAAATGAAAGCACAAAATAGGAAATGACATGCCTGCCTAGGTCATCTATCATTTTTCAGCAAAGAGAAGCCTACAGATCCCTCCTAATGCATAGCGCTTGCAGCCTGGTTCCCTGTTGTCGTTAGAGCACTTCGCGGAATCTCTGAAAGCTAGACTTAACCTGATGGGACAGTGATTAGGTACAATTAGTGTTGTTGTATTTTCCTTTAAAAAAGTTATGTCCCAGAGAGGATTGCAGACAGTCCATTTAGCTCTACCTCTGTCACACTTGTGTTCTGACCTGTCCCCAATCTGTCATTTTATAGTGCATCCAACATGCATGGAGTATAAACAGGACTTGTGTTCCTTCAAGCATACTACTGAGAAAATATTCGCCTTCTTTCTAGAGCTTCCAAAATGTAAATATTTAACTTCATGGGTTTTTTTTAGCATCTAATCTCATAATGGCCATGGTGGTTGTCCTTCCCCTAAATGCTGACAGATCGTACACAGAATTCTTTGCTCTCAGGCTTATCAGAGATTTTCCCAAGTCTTATTTTGCTACTGTTCTTTGATATAGACTCTGTTTGCCACAGCTATACATTTTTATCTTCTTTCATCATATTCAAAAATATATTAGATGGCCTGATACTACTGTGACTTTTCCTGCTACCATTAAATTCTTGAGCAACTACTAAGTGATTTATAATCATGCTATTTCTAATCTTCCTAGCATCCCTGTAACGTGGCTGTTATTATCATTCCCAATTTATGTATGAGGAAACTGAGCTCTGAGAAGTTAACTTGTCAAAGTCACTCATCTTTTGAGAGTAAGAACCAGGATGCAGCCCCTGCTTAACGGTCCAGTCCTAAAACCTCTGGTCTTTCCAGTCAGCCACGGTGCTTCTCATGTAGCAGAAAGGTGACATCTTTTCGAGTTCCAGCTCCTTCCTTTTCCATGCAGACGTTATTATTGTGAGACATTAAGAGCCAGTGCAGGAAACGGGCATTTACATAGTTTGGCTCACCTAGAATAGCTACCTATGATGTATTTTCTTCCCAAGAATGTGCATTTAATCTACATTTATTATAACAAACTAGTATTGTCTGACAGGTAGAACTCTTAAGAATGAACATCTGCTTTCTGGTTATTTGGAAGACCTTTGGAGGTGGCATGTGGAATAAAATACATTTAAATATCTTTAAAAAAACCTGATATCGTTTAGAAATAATGAGGTTTGGTTATTTCAGTATCATTGTTTTGATGACAAACATAAAGCAGAGTTTGGAAATGACAGAATCCTGTGGAAGATCTCCCCTCCAGATCTACATGCCATTTCATTCATTCATTCGTTCATTCGTTCATAATTCAACAACTATTTATTAAGTAGAAACTACACACTTGTCACTTTTCTAGGTTCTGGGGTTAGATGAGAGAATAACAACCACAAAAATCCCTGTCTCCAGGAATGCAGCAAAGACAATCCATATACATAATAAACAACTAAATTATATAGCATGTTAGAAGGTGATAACTGTGATGGAAAGAAAATAAAACAGGGTAAGGGGAATGTGGAATGCTGGCATGTGGAAAGGGTCACAATTTTAGATAGCATGACCCTAGTAGGCCTCAGAGAGCCTGAGGTCACCTTAATCTTATTTCGGCTAATTAGAGGACAGAGAGCCCCTCAGCACTATTTCAAGTTAATCTCCACCAGGGCTCTATGAGCATCCATTTGCACCTGGGCAAGCCTTGTAGTGGGTATTAATCTTTGTCTACATGGTGTTTCCCCATAGAGGTCTTTGACCGTCATTGCTCTGTCCAAAAATATTTCTTCTCTCACCTCTTCAGGTGTTTTAGTATTAAGGTTTCAGTGACTTTCTTCAATCACCTTCAGACTCAGGTTGATTTACAAGTTCCTTGACCAACAAGGAGTCCCAAAGTGACCCAAAGAGAATGAGTCTGTTAAATTAACTGTCAACTTTCTCTTCAAATTTCCTTTCAGCTCTCATCCAGCTGCACTTGCTTAGGGTGAAAACAGCATGACTAATTTTTCATCTAAGACTTGTGCCTACATTTCAATTTCCAGGGATCAAAAAAACAGACTCTTAATGGGAAATTGAAATTCAGGTATAATCCCAAGGTGAAAAATGAACCAAGAAACTGTGTGGCTCCGCCTGTTTTTTCATTTTGGATGATGTGTCAAGACATTGATAGAGGAAAATAAAAAAAGATAGTGATCCTGAGCTCGAATCATTTCTTATCCATCAGGCCCGCAGGAAATGAAATACTTTAATGAGAAAAGGTAGGTTTCTCTTTATTCTCTTTTTCTTTTTTTTTTCTACTTTCCTTCTTCCTTTTTTTTTCTTGTTAGATTCCTATGAACAATCAGAGACTCAATAATTGGCATTTAGGGAGTGCTTTGGTTCATAAATAAATTAGGCCTTTTGCTGACTTCCTTGAGTATTCAACACCATATAGGTCAAATTCAGTTTGAGGGAATCTCACTGTTGCTGATGAAACTCTAAATTGCTATGTCCTTGGACAAGGTACTTCTAATTAAATGCTCAGAGGAGTCTCTGGCCGTGGGACCACTGAAACATGCCTGCGGATTAGGATGGCTGGGCAGTCGTCTGTGTAGGAGTGCATGCATTGAGTGAGGGTGGGGTCTGAGTTACTGGTCATTTCCTGTTTTAAATCCTATACAGTTTCAATTGATTTTTTTCCCCCCACATCTTTTACTAATGGAGCTTTGCTGGTTCTAGCTGAAATCCTACATGGTAGTCAATAACAGCAAATCATTCTTTCTGAGGCAGCTATTGTGAAGGTAGTTGTTACTGGCTTCAGCTCCAAAGCCAGGGAAATATTTACAATAAAAGTTGATTTAGCGAAATCAGGAAGAATAGGAAGGAGTACAATATGTGTGCACCAAGAACTTTTTAGAAACATATTTTTTTTTCAGGCTTATAATTTATCTCTTATCCACTAATGGACTTTATATCTGACTTCATTGTAAAATAAAAAACAAAGTAGTCAAGCTGGAACTGAGCCACACATATGTTTTCTAGCTTGAATGCCTTTCAGTTCTTTTGAGTTTCTAACAGTTCAGGTGCAACTTCTTTCCCTCCTCTTAGCCATCTTGTGAGCACTCAAAACGTATCACCTGCATAGCAGCATTTGGGAGGGTTCTCTATAAACATGGGGGATTATATATATTGGGATATAGGCTGGTGCTGGAAGTGGAAGGGAGAACTGGCTTTGTAAATCCTGGAAAATGTCAGGGTGCTTACACTTTAATTGTATTCTGGAGCTGAGTAATTTTCTTTCCTCATCTCTTAACAATCCTATAATAATTGTTAAACTGTGTGTGTGTGTGTGTGTGTGTGTGTGTGTGTGTGTGTATTTTAATCTTATCGTAGTTACAGGTAGTATTTTTAAATATTTTTCTCTTTTAGTGTTTACCCAGTGAATATAACTGCAATGAAGGAGAACGCCTAAGATAAATGAAACCTTTTCAAACCTTAAGTTAGATTGCAGTTGGTGTTATCTAAAATGTCAAATTTAATGCAGTTTTCTAGTTACCTCTTTGTCCTCAGTAGTGGTTAAGATAGAATTCAAGGTTCCCACTGTAAAAATTGTAGAAGAGGTCTCTAGCCTTTGCCAATTGCAAACTAAATAGAAGCAAGCTGCGCACCCTCTCTGAAGGAGGGCCATTCCCCCAGACCCTCCTGGTTTCCAGGAGGCTGCTGTGAGGATGTGTACTCACTGAGGAGCGGGGGCAGCCAGTTCACATTGACCTCGCAGTGGGAGTCGAGGAACGTCAGGACTTCTCCTCTTGCCATGGATGCCCCCAAGAGTCGGGTCCGGATGAGCCCCTCTCTTCTCTTGGTGCGAACAATCCTCACTTTGGAAAATCGGGCCATGTATTCTTCTAACTTATCCTTCAAGTGTTCTAGGAAGAAAGTAGAAAATGCACAGAAAGAACACAAAACATGAGTGGCAGCAGAATTACCCACGGGTGTTTATGCATAGAGAGTACATGAATGACGAATCCGAGCTCAAGTCCATTTTTCTCCTCTCTTCATCCCAAGGGGAGATACTAGTTAGATTTTAGACCCAGAGGTTTTTATACTTTATACTTTCCAAAATGCTTCATTAACTGCAAATACTGCCCTTTGTTTGAACACTGTAGAAGACACTGACACACCAGAGGTCTACCACACAGTTACTGTTGGCCAGCTGCCACAGTGCTTAATCCTGGCCATCACTCGCCAGGATGGGCATCGGCCCTCTGTTTCCTGCTATGTAAAGTCAGAAGAAGATTCTAGTATATGGGCTCTTTCCAGCAAGACTTCCCCTACTATTCTGTGTGTTGAAAATAATGCATGTAAAAGCACAAGAAAAGAATATCTCTCTCAAATCAACAAGAACCAAATAGCTTTTTCTCCCCCACAAGGTAATAGCAAACTGGTAAGCAAGTTCAGCATCTGGTTTCTGATTTCAAGCAGAAAAGTGACTGACTCGCTGTTGACATTAGATATGGAAAGGGGAAGGCAGATGAGATACTGCACAGTCATTTTGAACTTAGCTATTTAAGATTAGAAAACAAAAATCTGGAAATCTTTCCTTGCCTAATTAAAAACAAACAGTGGGAACAAAATCAAATCAGGTAACTGATTTACAGAATAAAACATTTCCTACTGGCTGTGATAAAATGCATGAATTTCTCAGTTCTTTTTACACAAACAAGCGCTTTTGCTGGCTTTCTGTGGGATATATACTCATATAATTTACATCCTCTGCTTTCACTTTGTCACCTCTAAGATGTTAGGAGTCTTTACCAAGTGTGGTCTAATATTTATTGAAACAGAATCTTAGTGTGCAGTATGTTCTGGAGTTTTCTCTTTCAAACTTGCTCTGCATGCCTGCAATCAAAGGCAATATTATTATTAAGTCTCCTCCTATGATCTGTAGCAATAGGGATTCATGTAAGGATTTATGATCCCTTCCCTGCTCTCTAATTTAACAGAAGTACTCTGCATTGGAGTTTCTCTGTACATAAGAGTTTATTCTTATTCTTATTGCTTCTTCTTATTATTAGCATAGTGTTTAAAAACATATCAATTTTCTTTTTTTCCTTGACTGCCCTATGACTATGTTTTACAAATGCGTCAAGTAAAAAAATATTTGGCTTTCTAATTTTCACTATAAAAGAATACTGGTGGGATCTCTCACAGAGTGTTTCTGCTCAAAATATGTTCCCCTCTGTTTTGTTCTCCCTGTAATGAACAGAGATATGGAGATCAGACTATAGACAGCAAAGATTCAGGATTTGGAGTCAGAATAGACGTTGGTGAGAGGTCTCTGGCAGTGAAATATATAAGTAGATCATGCAAACTCTCTAAGCCTGAATTTCCTAACCTATAAAATATGGGGAATTTGTTTGTTTGTTTGTTTTTTCCTCTTAGAGTGTAGTGGAGGGTAAGCTTTGGTGAGAGACCTGACAGTGCTCATTCAACAGTCATTTATTAAATCAATAATTGGTGACTTTGGTAAGTCACTTAGTACAAATATAAAGAGAAACAGCATTTCTAGCTGAAGAAATGCCTTTGAATGCTAAGCATGAAAGATGAAGAATATATAATTTTCTGTGCTTTGGTGGGATTTTGATAATTCATCATCTTCTGTTTATTGCAAATTTAAAGAAAAAAGATTTTGGCCGGCAATGAACGAACACATAGACTTTATAGTAGTATTGCAGTATCTCAACCAAGAGGCTGGCTCCGCCGTGTGTCTCTCTGCTTTGAAACAGGTGTGCTGTGCTGAGGGCCTACCTCCTGTCCCCTCCCCTTGCTCACTTCTCCCCTGCCCCACTCTGTGCAAGCTGTAAAGAAAGATTCCAGAGGACTACACAACACAGCGCCACCTGTGAATAAGACTGGAGCTTCACTGTCTCGTTAGGGAAATAAAGCAGAGACCCATGACCCAGTTGCTCAGTCAAAGGCCAAGACTAAGGGAGAAGTGATCAATACCAGGGCTCTGTATATGTGCCAGTCTTGGAAGGCCTGTGCCCTGTCAGGACTTCCCACAGTAATGAACATTAATGGAACCTTTATAATCTCATTACTGTAATTTATTTAGGCGTTGAAATCCTTCTGTATCACCCATGTACAAACAAATTCCATTCTATACGTTTATTTGTGAATAGGTTGTGCGGGCCACAGAACATATTGTCTCATGAAAACAGTGTCACGACAGTCATTGGGGACTGCAAATAGATCACAAATATTTGTTAAACCTACTAAAACAGTGGTTTTTTTTTTTTCTTTAAACTCCATTGTTCTTTTGTCAAATGTACCACTAGGAGTACCATCTTGGCAGTCTAGGCGCGTTACTTCTTTCCTCCCTGACCCCTAAGGACTAACAGGGCCTCTCTTGGGAGAGAGGGGTAATAATTCTCTATAGCTGCATAAGAGTAAATCGCTCTAGAAGACAGTTGCTTCCCAGGTGTTCTAAAGCGAGAATCAGGGTTGTCGGTCACCCAGGCATGGTTGTCCCAACATTGGATTTAGACTTCCACACTTTTTAGTTTATTGTGGGGACTACCTCTATATATTTCCTTTTCCTCTATGCACATTTTATGTTCTGTGCATTTTTCTTTTATCAAAGGCAATTCTAATGTATTAAAAGGATTGTATGATATGAATTCACTAAGCACAAGGGGTTTGACCCCAAATACAGTTCACTAAATGTTCAGATCAATTCCTCTAGTTTGAACCTTGTGGTAATAATAATTATGTTGCTTTGCATCAGAATAATGATCTAGTTGACTGCCCTTGTGAGGGGTCCATTCTCTCATAGTAGTTCAGCTAATTACCTATAACTCACAATGAAGACAAGTATCATCAGTCTAATTAGCAAATTACACTCTCATACAAGGGATTTACTGTGGATGGTGGGGATGGCTTTAAATGTAAAACATTTTGCATTTCTTTTGTATGAACAATTTTTAGATTCATTTCTAAAATATTATTAAAAATATTTTAAACATGATTTTATAATATTAATTGAAGCACAGCATCTTTGAAGATCACTTTTGAATTTGCTTCATTTTAAAGAATAACAAGAGAATTTATGGTATTTTTATAAAACAGCAGATTTCTTTAGTGACTATGAGACGTTTGTAGAACCATTAAAATACTTTTGGTCAGTGGCCCTAGACTACTAGTGGATATACTAGTATTAAAATCCACTGATTGGTATCCTGATGACCTGGAAGAGTAAATACAACTTCTAATATGCCAGTTTTTGCCAGGGTTTATTGTGTCACTGTGAGGCAATAATGAAATGAAAAGGTATACTCAAGTGAAATTTTGTTGTCTTGCTTCTGTGAATATTAAATTTAGCAGTTTTCTGAATGTATTTTCCTCTTCCTAGAAATTTCACTTTTGCTCTATAAACTTATATGGAGAATGTATCATTCACTAGTATAGTTAGTGATTAGAGTAAAAACTAAATACTAAAAAAATCACCTTCAATGATTTGCACAGTCAAGACTCAAGGATATGGGTTCTAGATCTATTGCCGACTTGCTGTGTGCCTCTGGGTAAGTCACTTCACACCATTCAATCTCATTTTTCTCAACTATAAGATGAAGGGAATGTGACTGATTGATCTTAAATGTTCCTTCTAGTTCTATGATTCTATGACTTCCCTTGTGAGGTTTTACTTATAGAGTAGATGTAGTCCTATCAAGTACTTAGTTTTTCCTAAAAAGCATCCTAATGATTGGTATTTCGGTATTTCTTTGAGCTATGTCTTACTTTTGAAAGCAAGAGTCAAGTCAAAATAAAGGTAACATGTTTCCGAGGTTTAGCCAAAAAGCAAACTCCAGGGTATTTTCTTTGGTCAGTATAGCGTCTGTCTAATCTCCTGCAGTTCACTGTCTATAAGACTGTCACTGATGTCAAAATAATGACTTTGATAAACTGTAAGTTCATCAAAGATTTAGGTCTGTTCAATAAGTTATGCTTATTATGTCAGAAAAATATAATAACAGAGTTTAGATAGCTTTCTGGACTACCTTTGAGGGATTGTTCCCAAGGGGACAGACACTCTGGGGACCATCAGTGTTATAGAGCACGGCCAGGGTGTCCCAAGTGGAGGACTCACCTAAGGCCAGACAAACAGCTGCTTTGGCTCAGCAGCTGGTATTGAGGTCCAGCAACCTGTTGCCCAGTTTCTTCCATCTTCTTGGAATTCCCTAATTTACATCTCAAGGGGAGAGCAGGAGGGGCCAAGAGACACTATTCATCTGGAGATAGGGATTTCTATATTTAAGTACATATCTATGGAGATGAAATTTCTTTGATGTTTATACTTTGGTGTTGGCAGAATGTGGTAGAACCTGACCTTAAGATCATATAAAATATGGGCTAGTTATTATGGGTGATGCCTAATTATGAGTTCTCAAATGAAATGGATTATAAATACACAGAAATAAACTTTCTGGTTAATCTTTATACAACAAGAATATACTATTAAGTGCAACTGTAAGTGTTCCAGATAATTTGAGGTCTTATGACAGTGACAAGAAGTACTTCACAATTAGAGAATATAAGATATTCTTTCATTTTTTAATCTACTTGGCATATGCCATGTGTATATTTTAATCCAAAGTGGCAACGTTAAGGATAACTGTCCACATAGCAGGACCTGTAGACACTTTTTCTATATTCTTTACACAGGAGAAATATACAGACTTTAAGTCTCTAGTTGAATTCCAGAAAATTGTCAATCTCTTTGTGTCCTGGTTGACTGTACTAAATCTGTCCCTTTTGATAGCATTCAAATATAGACATTTCACATATCTCTAGAGCACAAAAAATTCAACCAAGAAAGCAACAGAATTTCTGAAATCATATTCAATTGCTTCTATTATGATTTCAACTGTGTTCTATCTCTGAATGTTCTATTCTCTATTCTTTCAATATGCAAGGCATCAAGTCATTTGGGAAATAGCTGAAGACATCAAACTTAAATAAATAGACAAAATGTATTCCAGCTAATATAAATAAAGAAAAGATAGAATTAGAATGTCACCCTTTTGCAATCCCTAATGAACTAATGGATCAAGCCAACAGCGGCTGCTAACATCGCAAAAGGAGCCGTGATAACCTACTCTGCGCCTCGTGATGAAAGAACACATCACTGCCTATGAAGTATTCATGCCAAAAGCATTGCATCTGAATTTGATGATGCCTTTAGATCTAACAACCCATTTATAGGAAATCAAGGATTGAAGCATATGTTAAATGGCACAGCAGGGAGATAATCAGCAAATTCCAAACTTTCGGAAGTTCCTCTGGACAAACAACTTGATTTCTTCAATGAATAAATTAGAAGGAAAAAGGAAAGAAATGGAAAGATAATCCCAAAGACTAAAGGACACTTAGGAAATATACCAACCAGTCACAATGAGAGGACCTAATGTGGATCCTGATTCAAAGATATAGTTGAGAAAGAAAAAAGCGGCCCCTGATGTCTGGGAACTGGTCTGATGCTCACAGCAAGGCCA